ACGCATAGTGTTGCAGACACTTCAAGAACATCAGTTGTTTGCGAAGTTTGAGAAGTGTGAATTTTGGCAGAAAGAGGTCAAATTTCTGGGCCATGTAGTGTCAGAAGAAGGATTAGCAGTAGATCCAGCCAAGGTTGCGGCAGTTATGGAGTGGGGACAGCCTACCTCACCGACAGAGATTCGCAGTTTTCTGGGATTGGCGAGGTATTATCGCAGGTTCATCCAGGGATTTTCCAAAATTGCGGATCCACTTACTCATCTGACTAAGAAGAATGTACCATTTGTATGGGATGATTCTTGTCAGACTGCTTTTGCTGAATTGAAGAGTAAGTTAACTTCTGCACCTGTCTTAGCCACACCTTATAGTGGAATCGAGTATTTAGTATTTACCGACGCTTCTCTGAAAGGTTTGGGTTGTGTGTTGATGCAAGAAGAGCGACCAGTTTCTTATGGGTCTAGGAAGCTTAAGCCTCATGAGCTTAATTACCCGACTCACGATCTAGAGCTCGCAGCAGTGGTTTTTGCCTTGCGTATTTGGAGGCATTATCTTTTGGGGGAGACTTTTCGATTGTTTAGCGATCATAAAAGTCTACAGTATTTGTTCACACAGAGAGAACTGAATATGAGACAGCGCAGATGGTTGGAGTTCGTGAAAGACTATCACTTCTCTATTCAGTATCATCCAGGAAAAGCGAATGTTGTAGCAGACGCACTCAGCCGCCGACCCTATGTCAGCCTTTCAGCTTTGTTTGCAACAGAGTGGGATGCTTTAAAGACTGTTGATAAGTTAGCAGACACTTTTATGGCATGTGTGGTAGTAACTCTTTCTATCATTCATCAGGTCATTCAAATGCAACTCTCAGATCAACAGTGTATTGATTGGGTTTCGAAGTTAGCCTCCGGAGATGTTCCTTTTTATTCTATAGGGACTGATGGAGGATTGAGGTACAAGGGACGTTTAATTGTGCCTTCAGCTGACAATTTGAGAAATGTTGTGATGAGAGAGACACACACTTCTTAGTTCTCTGTACATCCAGGGGGAGACAAGATGTATCAGGACATGAAACGCCAGTTTTGGTGGGCCGGCATGAAAAGAGATATAGCTATCTTTGTCTCTAAATGTAGCACCTGTCAGATGATTAAGATTGATCATCAGAGACCGCCAGGATCGTTACAGCCACTTCCTATACCAGAGTGGAAATGGGAGAGTATTTCTATGGACTTTATAGAGGGATTACCTACTTCATATCATAATCACAACTCTATTTGGGTCATTGTTGATAGATTGACCAAGTCCGCTCATTTTCTGCCTGTTCGTTCAAACTTTACGTCAGAACAGTATGCTAAGCTTTATATTGCAGAAATGGTGAAACTTCATGGCGTACCATTGTCCATCGTATCAGATAGAGATCGGAAGTTTGTATCAGGATTTTGGAGGAGCTTTCAGCAGGCTTTGGGTACAGAACTTTATCTTAGCACTGCTTATCATCCTCAAACAGATGGACAGACTGAGCGAGTTAATCAGATTTTAGAAGACATGTTGCGGGCATGTGTTCTTGATTTTAAGGGCAATTGGGAGGAATATTTGCTGCTGTCAGAGTTTGCTTATAACAATAGTTATCAGAAAACTATTGGCATGGCACCATTTGAGGCTTTATACGGTAGACCGTGTAGATCTCCTGTCTGTTGGCTTGGAGTTAGTGAGAACAACTTTCTGGGTCCTGAATTTATTAAGGACACGTCAGAAAAGATCGCTATCATTAGGGATCGAATGCGTACCGCACAAAGCAGACAGAAAAGTTATGCTGACCGTCGAACTCGTGTTTTGGAGTTTAAGGTTGGTGATCAGGTTTTGCTTAAGGTTTCTCCCATGAAGGGAGTAATGCGGTTTGGGTCCAAGGGTAAGTTATCGCCTCGTTTTGTGGGTCCTTTTATGATTACAGATCGGATTGGGGCAGTAGCTTATCGTCTGGCTCTACCAGATAATCTTTATAGGGTACATAATGTTTTTCATGTATTTATGCTGCGAAAATTTCTACGGGAAGAAGATCGATATCAACACATTGATGTGGGTGAGATTGAGTTACAACCCGATGCAACCTATTTAGAGCAACCTTACTGTATCATCGATCGTAGGAATCAGATACTGCGCACGAAGACTATTCCATTAGTACGTGTACAGTGGAGTCATCATAGTGAGACAGAGTCTACTTGGGAACGGGAAGATATTATTCGTGCCAAGTATCCAGAGCTCTTTCATACAGGTATGTAGTGAATTTCGGGGACGAAATTCCTTTATTAGGGGGGGAGAATGTAATACCCCGTAATTTTAAAGAGTTTATTTAAATTAATTTTGTGTTAGATTAATTCTTTAATGTGTAGATTTATTCACCTTTTAATTATATATATTAAATTATTTAATTAATTTTATTTATTTGTGCATGTAATATTGATTTTATGTTCTATATATTATAATGATTAGTTTAGAAATTTTATTGGTTATGTTTTAGATTAATTAATATTAGTTAATTAAAGTATTTAATTTGTATTGTATAATAATAATAATAATAAACAATGTCATGATGTAAAGTTAATATTAGGATAGAATTTCATTTACTATGGTAGAATGGTAGATCAAATAACTTGACTAAAATTGCATTGCCTTAAAGCCATATAGGTGGGAATGTTGAAAGTTAATGTTTAGGTTAGATATTTGTATTATATATATTATATAAATTAGTATATATTAGTTAGTTAGTTACAATTTGAAAGAAAACTCACGTAAGTAGAAGAGCAAAATAACAGTGAGCAATTGTTGAAGAGTGAAAGGAAGAGAGAAAAAGAAAGGAACTTGGACCGGTGTAGGGAATTTACCCAACTACGCGCAGACCGGCGGATTTATTTTAAATCCATAAGGCAAGTTATTATTAACTTTTCCCCTTTGAGTCCATAAATTATTCATTACATTTATTCGGCTATTTTTTTTTTAGGTTAGAAACCATGCTAGGACAATGATAAATTAAATATTTAATTTATTAAAATAATGTGATATTAAATATTTAAGGGTTAAATAATTTATTATTGGCCTAGGTAATTAATTGAATCTTAAGAATTGTTATTTAAGGCTTTAGAAATTTTTCTAGAATTTTTGGGCAATTTTTGAAATTTTTCTGTATTTTCCGGCGACCTTCCGGCGAGTTTTTCGGTCGCCGGCAATGGGGGAGATGACCGGAGTAATCCGGTGTGATACGGCGCACTATAGTTACTGTGCGCATGGATATCCGGCCGTTAGATGAGTAACTAATCAGCAGATTGATTCGGTGTAGTCCAACACACCATAGGATGGTGTGCGCGCGAACCAGGACCCTTGGATTAGAAGAACTAAGATAGAATTATCCAGTGTAGTGCGCCCACAACAAAGTCCATGCAACCACCGAATCAGGAGCCGCCGCGTCAGCAAGAAGCATTAGAGGGCGCGTGGGAGCGCGTGCGCGCGCGTGGCAGGTTCTAGACGCGCGTAATGGCGCGTGTAGGCGCGTGCGTGTGTGGGAATGAGTTGGCTGCGCGTGGGGAAGCTTAGGGTGGCGCGTGGGGGCGCGTGAAGGGCCCTTTCAGATACTAAAAATTACCAGACTACCCCTAGGGCCATTTTTGTGAATTTCAGAACCTTAAACCTTGTTTTTAGGGCCTGTGTTGGTATTTACGGGTTTGACGGGCCACGAAATTATTATTTTATTACCCGTTAATTATTCTTATGGCCAATTAATCTTTTCTAAGCATTTATTGGCTCGTTTACAGTACGGATATGAATGTGATTTATTTAACGACATTGTTAAATATAGATGGTGTTATTATTTTATTAAATGGTATTAATCATTGCTTTTAAATTAAATAATGCCATGGTTTTAGTCATATAAATTACCCATTTTATATTATGGGATATTTATACTGTTAATCGTATATAAACCATGATTATTATGCTGTGTGCATTTCAGGGAATAAATGGACTGTTTATTATGTCGCATTTATATTATATGGATGTGTTGCCATATAGAACCATGTGAGCTGGCTAATAAGTTTAGACTCATTTATACCTTATGCATTCGTTGCTATAGACAGATGTGTGGCTGTCGGGGTATGTGGTTTAATATTATTGGCATGTGTTGCCTAATTGATATACTTAGTATATTTATTCATATTATTGGCATGTGTTGCCTAATTAACATACTCAGTATATTTAGTATTATTATTGGCATGTATTGCCTAATTGTTATACTCAGTAACTCATTAGTACATTGAGATGCGTTATTACTGTGTAGTCTTTACAGTTTGTGTTGTCAGTACCGTGCACCATGTATAATAGCTGATTTCCCGGGTAGGGAAAGGAGACACTTAACCACCTAGTGTGAGTCTAAATGATCACTGTCTATTCTGGTTGAGGTCATGTTATACATTGGATAGTTCCATTAGGATGTATACAAATATAGTACTCATCCGGATATAAATGATTAATTTATTTGATTCTCTGATTTGGGTCATAGTAGACAGGACTTGCTCGTGGGGTTGACCCACCGTTGTTGTTATTTCAAGATACGGTCAGTACCCATTCTAAGGTTGAGGTTAGCAGTGTGGGACCACCATCGGAACTCATCTACTCTTACGATCCAGTTCAGGGTAGAAGTTTTATGTATTACTTCAGTTTCAGTTTTTATTTACTTTTAACGTTGAACTCTCAGGTTTATATTTAGGGATCCTTGACATAGGATTTCCAAGTTGTAATGGAGTACTGTAGTAAGTAAATGATGGATGGATGTTGTATTATTTAGTGTTCCTTTCCTGTCTAAATTCTTTTATTATTATCATTTTGTATTCCATGCTTGTATGTTGCCAATTGTTTTTGATATCCCTCGTTTTTCGTATATAAGCCTGATCAACTTATGCGTGGAAAATGTGGGGTTGTCACAACCACCACCCCTAGTAGCAACTCTGTTAACTCTCACACCACTTCTGTTAGTTTTCCCACCACCTCTGTTAGCAGATCTCCTACCTTCTGTAGTAGAATTCCTCGCACTCATACCAGCAACAGTTTCATCTCTACCACCACCTACACCACCTGTGCCTCTTACTATTCTTGGTCTTCCACCCTTACCTTTTGGTTGTCTTATAGCTTGCTCAAGTGCTTTATAAGTCCTTACATTATAACCCAAGACAAGACATTTAATGCATCTCATTTTTAACCTCTTCACCACTGAACCTTTTGACTTACTCTCATCTAAACCTATTTTCCTGATCTTTTTAGGTCTTCCAGGTCTAGTCCTATGAGGTGGTGGCAGTATTGGAGCAGTACCAACTTCTCTTTTCAGATTCTTTAAAGACACTGGAGTTATGACATATCCATAAGACTTCAAGTATGTCTCTCTATAGTAAGAAGGGTGAACAAACAGCTCTGGATCAAACCTCCTATCCAAAATTGCTGCCACTGCATGTTTGCAAGGTATGCCAGTTATATCCCAATACTTACAAGAACAAGTTCTTGTAGCAAGATTCACATAATCACTAACCCCAACTTCATTTCATGTCATGTTTTCCACCTCATACTTGTCATTCCCTGCATAACTCACACGCAGTCTTCTGACATCTTCAGAAATTTTATCCAATTTCTCTTTAATTTTTGGACACAGCAGTCCCTTAACCTTATCCATCATCTCTATATTGTTTTGATACCTTAGCATCAGTTGTTTTCTAATCTTCTCAAACATGTAAATTAAAGGTTTTTCCCTTGCCTTCCCAATGTAGCTGTTGAATGACTCGCACATGTTATTGACACATAGGATATTTGTGATACCCCCGAATTTCCGGATGCGGGTTGGCCAGGCCCACGCCCGATAACCCGAGGATATCAAATCAATTAGCAATAATCGAACACAGAATACAAATAAGAAAAGAAAAAATAAATAAATAAATAAATTGCTGAAAAGAAACTAGAATAATAATCCAAAAATCTCAGAATAAAATTTAATTAACAAAGAATGATTCTGATACATCCTACTTCTCCATTCCTATTACAACTCGGGAATCCATCTAATGGACCCCTAAAATATCTCACTGAACTCAAAAGATTGGAAATGAATCCCAAGTCTAAAATATGAAATAAAACCCTGGTCATCGGTGGAGTGAATAACTGTAACTGCTCAGCACGATCCAGCTCTGAGTTTAGAACTAACGAACACCTGTAAAAATAAGAGTGGGTCAGGCCCACATGCAAATTATACTATAACTACAATCAAAACAGTGACTCGATACGCAAATACACCCTAAATATCTCAACAATAGCTATCTAATCCATACATATAGATATATCCACACTAAGGGACATTCACTGGACTATAGTAGGGGTCTCAACCTGAATAGAAGGCAACATGCGAAAACGCACCCAAAGGTAAGCATGAGTACCTAGACCTAACAGGGTACACCTCAATCTACTATAGCCAGCTACGCATCCACTGCATATACGCACCCTAACCAACGAGTCTGAGACTCAAGCTCCTCTCGTGGTACCATAAACATATATTTAAAATCCATTCATATCCATCCATAGAAAATCCAATAAGTTGTTCAGCTTATTCAGCTGCACAGACTTAAATATAAGGAGAATTATGTTTTTATAATTCGAACACTTAATCCAAAATAGGTAGGACTAAGTTATTTTGAATCAGTCTGTCCCTAGTATGCCACCGTCCCATACCGGTGCATACAATCCACAAAATCTATATAATTGATTAAACAGATAAAACTGTTCACCAATTAAAATCCATAAGGTATGAATTAACGTTTTGAGCTAAACTATACCTAGTATGTCACCGTCCTATACCGGTGCATACAATCCTCCATATCCATGTAAATTACAACATATAAATAATCAGCAAGTAATTTACAGTCCAAAACCAAATATCCAAATAACTGCAGAATAGTATATGTGATACTACAATATGTACAGTTCAAACCAATAATCCAATTAATTGTAGAATAATATATAAGAGTCCACAATTAACATCCAAACCATGTAAATTACAACATATAATTAACAGTTTAGCAATTTACAATCCAAAACCCTCCTAAATAATTGTAAAAGAGTATTTAGTATTTTAACAATTTAAATCCAAGAGTTAAACCATAAAGTTGCAGGAAATAATTAATAATTCGGCAACTACCATCCAGAGCATACATAGATCAAATCTAATATATCAATGACTCTATCAAGCATTAAAATAAATTCTATAATCATATTATAGTCCAATAAATCACTACATTAATTTAAGCAATTTAATTCCTTCCATCCAGGTAATAGCGTACTAAGTTGTATACTTGTATTCTGTCTTATCTTTTAGCACAGAGACATGCCCTATGCCCCAAGTCCAATTTATTAATTTAAAAGACTTCACTGTGCTTTTAATCTTCATTTAGAATAATTATATAGCACCCTAAGTTGTCAAATTAAAACTAGACAACAAATCTCCTTCCAGCCGTTAACCGTATGCACAATTGTTAAATTAGCGCACTGTTAATTTCATTCACTTAGAGGTCAACCTTACTTAATTTAAGGACTTAATAACTCTCAAAGCCAACCCTCTAATCCCTCTGTAAAACCCCAGAGTCAACAGAAACGTTCCCATGCTCCAATAGTATCCAAACAGTTCGTAGAAAAAAAAAATCAGAAAACTACTACTTGAAAGAGCCTGCTCTAAATTCCAAGAGCAGGCTCTTTTTTGAGCCTGGAGCCGGCTTTAAGAATGTAAAGCCGGCTCAATGAGTATGGGAGCCGGCTCCCACATCCATGGAGCCAGCTCTCACCTCCTTTAAGAGCCTTTGTCCCCGTTCTGCTCCGTTCTGACTTTCTGCTTCTTCTCCAGCATGTTTCTGCCCTTCAGTTGGTTTCAAAAACTAATCTTAAGGGTCTTATTAATATCCACTAGCATCCCAAAGGTTTGATTTTAACCATTTAAATCAATTACATAGATCAAATTTGCTACCGAACTAGACAAGCTTTAGGGACAACACTGAAACTATTTTGCAACCACAGCTCCATTCCAACCCCTTTGTTCCTCAATAATACTGAACCTAAGGTCTTCTATCACCCCATTAATATCCCCAAGGTTCGTTTATAGAAGATGGAAGCAAGTACAGTAACAAACATTACAACAGAACTTAATATGCTTTTAAGAACAAAACTGGGAGCGATTAATACATGAACTGTAAACAGATTTGAATTTACGACAAACAGATCATTCATATAACATATATTAAACATATAACTTCCAGTTATTGATTGATTAAACCCTAGAGATTATCTAAGTGCACAGAACACGAGCCAAAGAGAAGGAGAAAGAGAAGAACTTGCCTGTGATTTCAGTTATGAAATCCCTGCGTCGTCTCTAAGTTTCCGGCAACTACTAACTTCCTTCAAGCCTCCTATGGGTGTGATCTAATCCACCACAACCCTTCTTTGACCCTCTTTGTTCTTGTCCTTGGTAGCTCTTACCATTGCATCTGTTCTCTCAACTCTCTCTCTGTTACGTTCTATTTTTACTGTGCCGTGAATAAGGTTCTTCCAAAACCCTTAGTGAAACTCATACACGTATATATATAGGCCTTTAGAAAACCTTAATTAAACTAGAGCTAAGGCAAAACCCTAATTAAACTAGAGTCGGCCCATAAACTTAAGTCACATACACGTTAAATACTTGTATGACGGCTCCAAGAAACCCTAACTGAAAACTGTTAATTCAACTTCTACTTAAGCACTTATTAAAGACAATTAAATAATTAACCAAATAAGGCATTTAAAATACAATTTAAAATAAAACCAACAATACAATAACTCAGATAACTAAACAAACCATAATTCAAATAAAGAAAATAAGACAATTAAATAATTAACCAATTAAGGCATTTAAAATACAATTTAAAATAAAACAACCAAAATACAACAATTACAAAATCAATAGACAAAAATGCACATAGAATGAAATTTAAATTCCAATTTTATCCTTTTTAATTTTAGGAGTATTACAATATTCCTACTCTTTGTAGTATATGTTGACCTTACCCAAACTGTGATACCCCTCAGATTCGAGACACGAGTTGATCAGGCCCAAGCCCGAACCCGATGGAATATCAAACAATTAAAGTATTTTAAATGAACACAGATTACAAAACTGAATATGAAATGAATAACTAACAGCTGGAAGAAATTAAAATAGAATCCTTTAAAATTTAAATACTTAAAATCCAATCCTCCATAAAACCTCCAACAGTTAAACAACTCGGGGATCCATCCATTGGACCCCTATTATGAAAATCCAAACTGAAATATAAATAACTAAAAGAACATCCAAAATTTAAACCATGGAGAGAAGTCCTACGTCGTCGAAAGAGTGAGTAATAGTTTCTGCTCAGCACGATCAGGTCTAAGTCTGGAACTGGCGATTACCTGAAAAATAGAAGTGGGTCAGGCCCATGAACAAGTTCTATCCTACAATCCAAGTAAAAACTCGATACGCATATACATTATAACCAACTCAACAATAGCTATATAATCTGTTTATATATATATCCACACTACATGACTCTCATTGGACTATGCATGGGGTCTCAACCTGAATAGAAGGTAACATGCAAAACGCACCTGAGTGGGCATGAGTACCTAAGCCTAACAGGGTATATTTCAACCTATCATATCCAGCTACGCATCCTACTGCATATACGCTTCCTAACCGACGACTCTGAGACTCAAGCTCAGATCGCGGTAACATAAATATATATACTTAAAGACCGTCCTATTTATCCATAGTAAATCCAGTTAGCCATTAAGCTTGTTCGGCAGCACAGGCTTACATATAAGTAGGATATTATTTTTTTATAATCCGTTCCCTAATTCCGATATAGGTAGGACTTAGCGTTTCAAGCAAATCCAAACCTAGACATACCACCTTCCTGTACCGGTGCATGTAATCCAACATCCAGCAGTTGAGAACACGAATAATAAATGCACATATCAACTGATCCACCATAAACAATCATATTTAAATTAACATGCTTACTCTGGTAATTGATAACTCTAAGTAATGAGATACATTAATCAATTTCATGATAACTATAATAAAAATAGATAATCTATCATGCTTGTATTATACCTACCCAATAATTGATGTGATAAGTAATAAAAATTGCACATCAATTAATCCTCACTAAGCATAACAAAAATATATAATTTGACATGCTTATTTTACATCATTGATAAATGGTTAGAGACGTATAATCATTGACAAAAAATTGCTAAAACAAGTCCCGGCAGTTTAAATAACCATAATCAAATTCAGTATATGTAAGTTATTAAGAAATTTCTATTATTCAAATTTCTAACAATGTAGAACTAGGTACACCTTCTGTGTTTTAACCTGCACTTCTAAACCATCCAAAACTTACCATAACAGTCCCTAACTGAAGTCTGAAACCCCACAAATCCATACACAGTAGCCAAACCTCGTTGGAAATAGCAGAAAAATAAAAAATAAAAAAAATTAAAGAAATCAAGGGAGCAGGCTTCAAAAACATGTGGAGCCGGCTCCACCCTCTTGGAGCCGGCTCCAATAAAGTGTGGAGCCGGCTCCACTTCAATGGAGCCACCTCCATTGAAGGGTGGAGCCGCCTCCACTCTTCCCAGCCTCCGTCTTCTCCGACGTCGGCTATTTTCTGACTTTCTGATCATCTGTCCTCCATTCCTAAAGCTCCTAGGTGTTTAATACTAGGTCCAGTGTATTCCAGAATTAATTAAACTCTTAATTCATCAACCAACATCAATTAAAATACAATTTATGCAAGAAGAATTTAAACCGGAACAATTACCCATTCATGAACGTACTGTTTCAAGTGATCACCCATGCGAACCAGATTAAGTTTAATGTTTTCCCAAGGTGTTCCAGCACTGATTAAATACTTTCTTCATTAATTGACATCAATTAAAACATGAAGTAAAACAGGAGTTACACAAGAAAGAATTTAAAACAAACAATAACCAACTTGTAAACACGTCCAGTTTTAAGTATCTCAGACGTGCAATCCAGTTTAAGCTTAATCTTTATTTAGTCCTGGGGTTGTATTAGTCGTGTAAAGAACACGAGCCAAATGGAAAGAGTTACGAATAGAACTTGCCTTTAGGTCTAAGACCGTTGTCTTTCTAAATTCTCCGGCGAAATCCAACTATTGTAAACCCTTCTCTGTTCTTCTCTGCCTCCACAGTCGTGAAAAGGATTCTAAACCCTAAGCAAAACTTAATACTTATATTTATAGGCCACCCTTAAACTGAAGCCTAACTGTAATATGAGACGGAGAACTAAGTCGGCTACAACATGAAGAAAAAATAAAACAAAACCTAATCAATTGCAATACTTCAAAAAAAAAAAAAAAAATATTCAATTTATTCAATTTAATTCAAATAAGTCACATAAAAATAATTAATTCAATTTAAGTCAAATAAATCAAAGAAAAATAATTAATTCAATTAATTCAAATAAAACAAGCAAATAAACAATTAAACCAATAAAAATGTAATTAAATAATTAATTAAAATACCAGGACTATCCTTTTAAAATTAGGGGTATTACACAAACCTTTAAGGGAATCTTCATTAACCAGTCATGTGCATCCTTGTTAACTGCCTTCATCTCTTACATATGTAGCACAAAATCAAATCTTGTGTATGCTGTGGATGTATTCCAGAATATGTTCCTTAGTATTCTGCCTTTGTATTTCTGCCTGAAATTGTCATGCATGTGTTTAATACAGAACCTAATATCTGCTCCAGGATATTTATGCTCAAATACCTCAAGTAGACCCTGAAAATAAGAGAACAAAATATTATATTTATGTAAAACATTAAAGTAAGATAATAAATGAGCATATACATTGAAAGATAAACATGTATACCTTCTGTCGATTTGAGATAAATGTGTACTTCTGATAATTGCTAACTAAAGCCATCAATTCATCCAAGAGCCATTCCCAATAGTCCTTGCATTCTGCCTTAACACAACCAATTGCAATTGGATAAAAGCCATCCCTACCAACAGCACACAATAAGTGTCCCCCATAGGGTCCTTTCAAGAAACATCCATCTAGACCAATTAATGGTCTACAACCCTCTAAGAATCCTTTCCACATAGCCTCTAGAGAATAAAACAATCTATAGAATGAAGTACCATCATCACTATAGGGTATTGTTTTTACATTAGCAACAATCCTACGATTTGTTTCCAGGATTAAGGCACAATAGTCCCTAGTTCTTCCAAATTGCTTTGAATAATCACCTACAATCATTAGTAAAGCCAACTTCTTTGCTCTAGCCACCTTTTGTTTTGTCGCATCAACATTAAATTCACTTTCAACTATCTGCACAAAACCTTTCAATGAGCAATTTAGATCAGCCATAATCTTTTCAGTATAATGTTTTGCTAAATAACTATATGTCAGCTGACTGTTGTGCCTTACACCAGTACAATTGTGAGTATCATTGAATGTCTTTATTTGGAATGATTTATCTTCACCAATTTCAGAGGCATGAATCCTCCACCTACATTTAGCCTTGCATACCACTGTGACTCTATCTCCATCATTCTTCACAAATGATAGGTCAAACTTGCCTATTATAGCTGTATCCCTTACCGTTTCTCTAAATTTTGCTGGAGAACCAAACTTCATGCCTATTTCAAGTTTTTTTTTTCCCCAAGTCTGTATGAACATTGAAATTTGGATAAGATGGGCCACTTGTGGCATCATCTTCACATTCTTCACCACTTGAGTATCCCAAACTTATCAACTCCTCACTTGGTGCATATTTAAAAGCTTGATAACTGTCAGCATCTTTATCAAATTCAATCTCAGGTTCTTCATCATTTGTAGCCTCATTCACATCAGTTGCATCTTCATTATTTCTTACTTCATCAACCTCCTCATCTATCATAAAAGTTTCATCATAAAATTCCAACAAAACATTGTCATTGTAATATTCATCATTCACATCGTCAATATCATTACAATTCACATCCTCATCCTCAAAATTCACATTTTCATTTTAAAATAATATTAAAGGTATTCTTGTCATTTCACAGTAACTTAACGATTCTATGACGGAATGGGGGGGCAATTTGATATTTTCTGTTGTATCAGGGGGTTTTTTAATACTCGAGGGGGTTAGTAGATAGTTTCGATAAACAAAAGGTTGAAACGATGTATTAGATTCGTATTCAATTTAATTGAAGGCACGGTAGTTTAATTATATTTTACACACTATTAATTGCATATATGGGGACATGATTAGACTTTAAATAAGGTTACCAAGGGACCAAGGGAGTACTCATTTACACAAGTGATTAATTTTAGCCTTTTTTGGGCATTTTTAAGGTTCTGGTCTTCTGGAACCGGTTTAACTGCCATGGAACCGGTTCAAGGGTGTTTTTGGTTCACGTCTAGGCATTCTGCCCATGTGGAACCGGTTTAAGGAATTGAAAACCGGTTCAAGTCCTCCAGTGTCCACTTTTGCCTTGGCAATTTATCAGTTTTGATCATCTGACTTTGTGCGGTCATAACTTATTCGTTTCGAACCCAAATAGAGTCATTCTTAAGTCCATTTCAAGGATTTTAAGTTATCTTTTCAATGACACCAATCTCATCTTCAAATTCAATTCATGCTAAGAGATATGGTTATTTTAGTGAGACAGTGTCGGGATTTCCCTTGAACCGAGTAGGAGCACTTTTGGTATATCATTATCAATGATCGTAGAACCTCTTCAAATGTCATGAAACGACTAGAATGATTGTTTGAAACTTCATTTGATTAGTTTTAAGGACAGATTATCCTTGCTTATTATAAAAGTCCTCTTTACCCCTAGTGTGTCCTCGAGTTCGGGTAAGGACCCGGTTAGCAATTTGGACCCTAGGTTCGGGTCATTATATTGGCATAAACGAGTTTAGATCATTAAAGGGTCGACACGAATAACCCGTTTACTTAACCGTATCGGGTTAGAGTTAAGGGTTCAACCTGTGTAACCCGTTTATGACCCATTTAACTCAACATGTTATAATCGTGAATATCACATATGTAATATGTTATCTGTTAAAACCCAATTATTATGAATAGCTAAGTCATTTCAACATAAACTTTGTCTACGCCCTATGATATATATATTTTTTATTTTGAATATTTGGGTTAATTATGACAATTTTTTATTATTATTTAATATTTGATTAAATATTAAATGTCCCATTTTGATAAACAGATCATTAAACGGGTTAATACGTTTACCTATTTAATAAACGAGTTGGGTTAGTGTTGAGAATTCTTGACACGATTATTAAATAGGTTGGGTTTGGATTTACCTATTTAGTATAATACCCTTATATCGACACTAAAACACGAATTGCCACCCCTAATCTAGATAGAAGTATGTGTAGATTTCATTGACCTAATACATGACCGTCATTCTTAAGTATGCATCAAATCAGTTTATGGTAACTATATTTTTGGAAAAAAATAACCTTATTATTGTGAGAAGATTGGGGATGGCAAAATCCCATACCCGGTGGGTCCCCGCCCCACCCCACCCCATCCTGTTTATGGCAAATTTGGGGACCCATTTATGTAAATAGGGAGGGGATAGGGCGGGGACAGGGGAGGATAACCCCGCCCCGCCCCATTTATAGTGCATTTTTACAAAATAGTCCCTACATGTTATAAAATATTACTAAATTATATAACTATATATATAATATATTCACTTCTGAAAGTAAAACCCTAGATCTATTCCCTCACAACATGAAGAAAAAACATAGTCGTTGCGCATCAAACATCTAATCATGTTTTAAATTGTTATAATTGTGCTGAAGTTTTATTAAATTATTAGGTTGAAAAATATTATGACTGTATTGATTTTGTTGAAGGTGAATTGAAATTTAAAAAATGTTACGCGGGGCAGGGCAAGGACGGGGGCTAATATGGCGAGGCGGGGCGGGGCAGGGATGGGGGAGGAGGTTGAAAATTAAACGGGTATGAGGGCAGGGTAAAAAATTTAACCTGGGATGGGGAATGAGATCCCCGCCCTACCCCGCCCCATTGCCATCCCTAGAGAAGACTAAATTGTATGAAATTACATTATTTCAAAAGAACAAAAGTATGCCAATGGATCACAATGGATTACATGCAGGGATGGATTCACATTAAAGGCAGTGGGGGCAATTACCCCATTGATTTTTATTTTATTTTTTAGTATTCTACCCTTATAATTTGTTTATTTTCAATAATATACTTATGAAATATTACATTTGCCCCCCCCCCCCCCCACCCAAATTACTAAAAAATGTACTATTGCCTCCCAAAATTCATTTTTGCCCCCTTACCTTACATCCTAGGTCCGTCCCTTATTAGGTGAACCATTCTTCAAAGTTAATTATTACTAGTATTTCTTTTAGTAACAGTTAGGGTTCTCTCACTATATTATTATTTATTTTTCAAAGTACCCTTTTATATTGAATTTTTCGCATTAGCAATATAAATAAAAAAATAAAAAATTTTGCATTAGAAAAACCTTATATAACATGTCAAAACACAAGTTTAACATCAAATATTACATTTCAATTGTAATAAAAAAAATCCTGAAAAAAAAAAAAATATTAAGTAACCCAACTCGGATCTGAACAAAAAACAAAAATTATATATTTACAATCATGACAAATAGAAAACACAAAATAAATAATTAAAAAAAAACCAATATTATCTCCATAAAACATTGATTAAAAAAAATACAAACTACAAGTATGTTGACAATTGGTTGGAAAAAAAACCCCTAAAAGAGCGATTTATAAACAATAAACAAAACATTCAAGATATAAACCCCTTCGAATATTAGATGTAAGCTCCAATACACAACAACCATTAAAGAGATTAACCAAAATCCTAAAATGATTAATCAAAATATGACAAATAAAATGATCGGTCCAAAAATAGGGTAAATATGATTTATTGAAACCCTAAAATGACAAATAAACCATAAAAAATTAGGGGAATATACAAGGAGGGGTAAAACAGTAAGTGACACTCACCAACTCCCTTCAAGATTTTTTCTTTTAAACAATGATTACATGCATTGAGGTCATATAGGCAAATTTAGCTTCATCTCCAAAGGTCAACTAGTCAATTTAGACTTTGCTATTAATTGACACATACTACTGTCTAAGTGCATGAGATGAAAATCACGTTGGTGCTATATGTAATTTGCTCTTAAAAAAAAATTATTATTATTTATTTTACAAGCTTTAAAATTATATGTGTAAACATACATGTTAATATTAGATATATGTATATATATTCAGTTTTAAAGTTTTGCAAAATAAAAAGGGCAAATTTCTCAAAACCCCAAAAACTATCAAAACATGATCATAAAACCCCAACCAGTTTTAAAAACCCCCAACAATATTATAACGTTGTCATTTTACCCCAATTCTGTCAAATGGGGCCGTTAGCGCGTGGTTAACAATTGCTTTGCCAATGTGACTTTTGTGACGAAAATACCCTTGATGTAACATGTGCAAACAAGTGATATATATTTACATGTATTATTCCGAAAATACCCCCAAGCATTTCTTCTCTCTCCTCCATGCCTAAAAGTGTTGCAGAAGCATCCGGTGAATCAAAGGAAGGAGCTTAAACCAGGACATTCGTCCGTCATTTGGTAATCAGGAAGTCTCGCCGGCGGACGCATGAAACAACGATGAGGATCCCAACCAATTACTCCAATCAAAGACAAGCAGATAAAGATGAGGACGAGACGATCGATAAGATGCTGATAAAACACGTCGTCACCTTCTTCAAGCCCTTAACCCTGATCTCAGCCCCAACCGGCGCCGGAAAAACCTTAAACTCAATTTATTCAAATCTCTCTCTCTACTGTGATTGTCGCAACAATCTCCTCATATTCATTGCTTTGATTTTCACACCATAATGGAGTGAGTGCTTGAGGTCGTTTTCACTGTGGGAGTAACCTCCAAATGCTAGGTCAGGTTTCGACCATGACTCTTAAGGTCCGTATATTATGCTCTTTCTATATATACACATATATAAGGAAATGATCTCCACGTTATATATACACACATATATATACAAAAATGATCTCCAAAGCATGATAATGATAGGACATCATGGTGACGAGCTCCCGGGCAGCGACGGCGAGGACGTTGGCGGAGGAGATCGACGACGGCAGGGCAGGCGAGATCAAGGGCAGTCTTGGCGCGGACATGACATCGAAGGCGTCCCCGGGGAGGGAGAGGTTGATGTCGGACCTCCCACGACGTCCCGCAGCAATCCCTCGGCGAGATCTCGGTCACCTACGACGTCCTTCAATCTCTTTCTCCCTGCAACTTCCTCGTCTTCTGGCTCGGCCTGGACTCCCTCAAGTGGGCCTCACTCAACCCCGATGGGACCACTTTCTTCCTCAAAGAAGACCTGAAATGGTTCAAGACGGTGACCCAAAAAGCCCCGTACCTAAAAGCCCACACCATCAAGTACAAGATAGGCTCGACGAGGCCGACAATTTGCTCCGATCATACAAGTCAGAGCCAGAGTGCTCGCCAGCGAAGTCGTACATAAAAGGGTACGACTGATGCAAGTTAGCGATGATCGGGTTGCCCAGCGAGGTGTACGACAAGAG